TTAGTTATTGATTGCTTTATAACAAATTATCCCAAAACTTAGTGGCTTGAAACAACACTTTTTTGTCTCAAAGTTTCTGTAGGTGAGGAATTGGGGCGTTGCATACTTAGCTGGGTTCTCTGCCTCAGGGTTTCTCACAGACTGCCATCAAGATATCGACCAGGCCTGTAAGTCATCTCAAGGCTTTACTGGGGAAGGATCTACTTCCATGTTCACTCATGTGGTCACTGGCAGGATTTAGTTTTTTGTCGGCTGTCATACTGAAGACCTCAGTTCCTAGCTGTCTATTGGCCAGAGGCCACCCTTTGCTTGTTATGTGAGCATCTCTGACGGCACCTGCTTCAGCAAAGTATGCAAGCCAAGAAGCTATACAGAGAGTGCCAGTAAGATAGAAGTCACTTCTTTTCTAACTTAATCTTGGAAGTGTCATTGCATCATTTTTGCCAAGCTCTTTCTATCTGTTAGGAGCAAGTTACTAGGTCCAGGCCATGGGCGTGAATATCAGGTGCCAGAGGTCATCGGGAGCACTTTCCAAAGCTGCCTACCATATTAGCAAAGCACATTAAACTGATGGAATGAATTTGGGGCTCCAAAAGTCTTTCTTGCGTATCCCAAAACAGCCTACTGCGTCTTATTTGCTGTCTTTATCATGAAGAAAGTAAATGGTCTTTTGAGAGTCTAGTTCAATAAACCCTTATTGAATGGCTACTATGTATCTGGCACAGCAGGATGCTAGAGGAACAAAGATGAATGACACATTTTCTGGCCTTGAGTTGGGGAAGAGAAGTACAAGCAAATAATTACAATATTAATATTATAAGTGATAAAGGCCTTCACAGAGTGCTCTGGTTAGGGGGAGAACAGGAAAGAAACATTCTGTTCTGGGTCACATGCAGGGAAGTAAAGAGGGTGGGGGGAGGTAGAGGAAAAAAAGGAAAGACTGGGTTTAGATTAAGACTGTGTAGAAGTTAATCTTATTGATCAGCAAAGTGCAAAAGTAATAACATATTATTGTACTTTTTATTTTCTAGACTTTAAACAGCCTACAATTGCCTCAATTTTATGCATAGGATATCTGTCCGACAGCTTTTTAAGTTTTATACCTCAGTTCATTCTATTAAAACACATCTGATAGAGGGCAGTCTGTCATTTAATCATTCAGATTAGAAGGCAATACTGTAATGCTGTTTAACCTGAAAGGGAATTGACTGAGTACACCCGACATTAGGGAATATATGAATTTGAAAAAAAATGTGCTTTACAATCAGACGCCAAGCAATAGTCTGCAAAAATAATTGAATGGCAACACACACTTGTAGAATTTCATTTGAGTCTTAGGATGCCACGTTCACTCTTGGCGAAAAGTGAACTGGAAATCATAAAAAGAAATCACATGTCAAAAACATAAGAGTATGTCTAATATTGAAGGTACACAAAAGCAAGGCCTTTTATGACACGTTATGCATATAACTAAAACATCACATGATCTAGAATGACTAAATCACTCATGGCTAATTTTTGGAGAACTTGTTTTGCAAACGATAGAATTAGGGCAGCAAAGCATATTCTGTACTATACCACCAGTTCCCAAGTCATGGAAAGTACTGGCAGAGCGCATAGCTTAAGCAGAACATACTCGTTAGCAACAGAAACCACATTGCTACTCTTTGCCAGTTGCAAATAGTTTTTGGCTAGAAGTTTGGTTACGGTCTGCTTTTGTCTACTTCCTAGAAATCTTTGGCTCTTTAATATGTTATACGACGAAATACATCTGTTATGAAATTTATCTTTTGTTAACCAGCAAAGTAAAACACATATTGAGAATCCGTCCCGGTTTAAAATCTTATCTTTAACATAGCTAAGCATATGAAGAAGTTGAAAACTGAGACGTGAATTCGACCTTAATCCTGCGCTAACTGGCTTTGCAGCCCTGGGAATGTCACATAACTCTTCTGTGGCTCAATTTTCTCATCTCATTATGGTGCTGAAAGGGTAAAATGAGATGTATTGGGATAGGCCTTAGAAATTTATAAGTTATAAAAAGAGAAGGAATTGGTACCAAATTTGATTCATCATTGAAATAAATATCATAACATTTTCTATTTCAAGAGAAAATGCTTGATATTCAAGAGATCTAATGCATTTATAGAAAAGTAAAATATCCCAAATTCACACTAATTTAAGACAATGGGATTTCTTTTTCATCATAGCCATATACAGCATTTTTAAAATGTTATTCTTTTGGAGTGTGTTAATTTTTCAGATTTTAAATTTCAAAATGGGGACAGGAAAAACCTATTTATCTTTAATGGGGAACAGAAAAATAATATGCATAGATAATAATTTTTAAATTATTGTAGTTGGTATTTTCTTTCTCTTAGACTGAATTTTTGGCCAGGTGGTACCTAGTAAAAGCATCTTACCTATTTGCAATTTAGTTTTCCATTCATTTGTTCATTCATTTATCTATTGAGTAAATATTTGATGAGCTCCTACCAGGCGACAGGCAGTCTTCCAGGTGCTGGGGATACAGTGGTGAACAGAACAAAGTCTGTGCCCTCAATAAGCTTACGGCGGGGAAAATAAACAAATATGAAAAGTAAACCTAGAGTATGCCAGAGAGTGATAAGTGCTAAGAAGAAAAATAAAGCAGAGTAAAAGGGTTCTAGAATATGGGGAGCAAAGAGGGAGATATTGCAGATTTAGAGGGATCAAGGAGAACTCTCTAAGAAGATGACATTTATAGAGATCAGAATGAAGCAAGGGTGTAAGCCTTGGAGATTTCCAGGTTAGATTATTCTAGACATGGGGGAAAACCAAGTGCAAAAGGCCTGAGGCAATCTAGTGCTTGGTGTGCTCAAGGAATAAGAAGGAGGCCATTGTGGGTGGAAAACAGAGTAGCTTTGGGAGGTCAGAGAAACGGCAAGGTGCTAAGTCATGAAGGACCTTACAGGACACTGCAGGGGTTTTGACTTTTACTGACATGAGAAGTTGATAAATGGTTTTAAGCAGACAAGTGACATGATCTGGCTTTGGTTTTAAGACAAACACTCAGGCTGTTGGATTGGGAATAGACTGTAGGAGGCGAAAGCAGAAGCAGAGGTTGGTTTGGGAGGCTACTGCAAAATTCTGGGCAATAGGTGATAGTTACTTAAACAGATGGTTATGGTAAAGATAGTGAAAAGTAAACAGATTCTGGAAATGTTTTGAAGATCGCGTAGGCAGGATTTTGCTGATGCATGGATGTAGGATGTGAGAGAAAGAGAAGAGCTTAACACAACTCAAGGGCATTTGGCTTGAGAAACTGGATGATGGAGCTGTCATTTACAAAGCTGGGGAAGATCACGAGAGGAGCAGGTCTGGGGAAAAATCAAGAGCTCATTTTTGATTATTCTCAGTTTGAAATGCCTTTTAGACAATGAAGGGCAGTCATTAACAGGCAGTTAAGTATATAAGTCTGGAATTGCATCTGGAAAGGTCTGGCCTGAAGAGATACATTCGGGAGTCAGCAAAGTACAGATGCAATCCAAAGCCGTGAACGAGGGTGATAACATCACGTAGGAAGTCAATGTAGATAGAGAGGACGAGGACACAGACCCCTTTCATTGCCCAGTCCTCCCAGATAGATTACTAAAGAGTGTAAAAGGAAGTGGAGAAGAAAAGACTAGGGAATCCAGAAATAGTTCAAATTGTTTATTCATCCAGCAGGTATTTATGAGCATCTGCTCTTTGCCAGAGGTTCTGCCAGCCATTGGGAAAACAACATAGTAGACCAAGGCAGTGCCTTCAAGTAGTTCACATCCATCAAGATGAACACTCAAGGACAGAAACAGAGATAAACTTCAGGACATGTCGAACAGCAATGACGAGCAGTAGCCGCCAAGTTAAGGGTGGAAGTGAGGAACAGTCTCCAAGGCCTGAGGAGGAAAGGCAACTGCTTTTAATCTCTATCTGCCTCCAACAAAGACAAGCCAGGCCCGTGGGAACCCCTGGTAACAAGATAACAAAATACAAATTAGAAGAAAAAAACAAATTAGAAGGTGAGGGGAGATAGGAACTAACTGCACAGCGCCAATCTTATATAAACTAGCTCATACTTGGCCTGTATCTTAGTCAACTTTTAATGTCCAGAGGCAAACACAGGCTTATATCTTATTTCAAAGGACAGATTTCATTATGTCATGCAAATACCACCTAAGCACATAGAGTATTTGATCTTTAAATGAAACAATAGTCTCACTAGAGTTGCATTCTAATGAAAGTTGTAATCGTATTTCTTAATTCAACTAGATACTGTAGCAATAGAGCAAATTTCCCAAGATGTTAAATACTCTCTTTCTCAAGAGCAATATTGAAGTGACCTTCTAACACACTTGGAAATGTGTGGTTGGAGGAGATGTGGGACCACTGAGGAAAACTAGGAGCAGAAGGAAAAATGCTACTAGAATTTAAAAATAAATGGCAACTGACTGCTAAAAAATCTCAATTATTTGTGTATGTTTAAATTACCTAATTTGTATATAGTTTGTGCACCTGTATTCCTACTACAATGGCCCAGTGCCTGGAACACAGCTGGCACATGATAAACATTACATTGTAAATATATAAAAGAATAAATTTGCCTACATTAAATGGTTGACTGTGTTGGGTCGATGGACACGGAGTAGTAGAAATACAGCAAGAGGGCAAGAGGACAAAAAATTAATTTCTGGGGCTTGATATGGGGAAAGAGTAGGATACTAGGATGATGAGGGCCTTAAATTATCCAAATATCAACAAAAAACAGCAGAGACCTTCTATTAGTGCCCTGAGCAGAAAGCACTTGGTCTTAAGTGCTTAAATCTGTCTAGCTGAAAAGACGTCACTGACTGCATCACCTTTCCTCCCTTTACAAGCCTTTGGAATAGTTTCTAGAGTAGAAATGGAGTTGGTAGTGACCTCTAAAGGAAAATCAGAATCCCTAAGAAAAGTCACGGTAAATCCATCACAAGGGAGTTCGGCTGTAACATCAGTTTTCAACGCTTTTCTTGGTTGTTGCCTGATCTTATCCAACTGCAGACCTTCGCTCCGGTGGTCCCCGTGGGCATTTAACCCTTTCAGCTAAAACCAAGGAGAAGTGGATCCCTTTCAGGACCGTAGACGAGACGGCTACCAGAGTGGGCTCGTGCCGTCCCAGCGCGCCCACACAGCCCGGCCACGCCTGGCACCGGGAGCTCGAGGTTCAGGGCATCACAACTTCACAGCCGCTATTGCGCAGGCTCTGCGTTCCACGCAGGCTTATTAGGAAGAAAGGGGATAAAATTGCCCAGAGACACGTGAACCAGGGGGGACCAACCCGGGACTCGGCTCCCCGCTGCACCGGATTCTGGAATTTACAGTCACGAAAGTTCTATTGTCTCGCGATTGGCTCCGCGGCCGCATGACATCATAGCGCTTGATTCAGCCTTCGGGCCGCGATTGGCTGGCCGCGCCATTGTGGCGTCACGGTCAGCCCACGTTCCGATTGTAGACACCGGGCGCCTTCCTCTTCCCATCGCCGTGGGTGCTGGCTGCCGGCGCCTCCCTCCGACCTCCTCCCCGGCCCGGGCTGCTGCCGGCGCTCCTGCCGCCGCCTCGCCGCTTCGCCAAGCTGCTGCCGCCGCCCCTGGGGCCGAGAGGTAAGCCGTCAGCTCCTGGAAACTCCTCCCGGGGCCGCCGCTCGGCCATGACACCCGCGCGAGTGCGCGGCCGGGACGCGAGGGCTGCGAGTGCCGTCAGGTCCCGAACCCGGGACCGCGGAGGAGCTGCGCCCGAGTGGCGGAGGAGCCTGGCCCGCTCCGGGGGGCCCCAGTCCGGCCTCCCGGCCTCGGACCTCGGGCGCGAGGCTGGGCGCCTCGGGACTTGCCGGCGTGATGCTGTCGCACCTGCTGTGCGCGTGGCAGCAGCGGGCGCGCCGTTTTGCAGGCTGACAGCGCTGCGGGACACACACTGTGCCCAGACGAGAAGCGGGACGGATGGGCTGTGCGCTCAGGTCCGCCCGCCCTGGCGGGGTGAACTCGCGGATGGGAGGTCCAGGGAGCTCCCTCTGAGAGAGAGAGCGCGCGCTTTCCTCGGGGAGAACAAAACCTGGGTGAGTTCGGAGAGCCTCCGCGGGGGCGCGAGTCGAGTGGGCACCGAGAGCCAGGGCGCGCCCGCCCTCGCCCGGCGGGGAGCTCCTGGAGCGGGCGGGCCGGGATCATCCGGTCTTTTCTCTTTCTCTTTCGGCCTCGGGCCCCCGGAGGGAAGCCCGCTAGCCGCGGACCACTTTGGTTTTTATTAAAACCAGATAACTGCAGCCGTGGTCCTTGGGGAGGGATGAGGCCGGTGGGAAAGCGCGGGGGCGGGGACTCGAGAGCGACCTGGGCGGCCCTTTAGGGAGTCCGGGCGCGGGAGGGACGGGTGGGGAGGGAGGCGCGCGGCGCGGGAGCGGCTCGGGGCCGGGGAACCCCTAGTGTCTCCTCTGTAGCGAGTTGTAAGGAAAAGTGCCCTTTTGCAGTTGCTACATCAGTAAGACTCGCCGCCCCCCGCCCCGCGTGGCCGCCCTCCCGCCCCGGGATGGAGTCATGACTGGAGGAGAGTTGCTCTCGTAAACTGTGTCTTGCAACCGTTCCGTGTCCTTATACTTGAAGGGTCGTAGTTCCCTTCCTCACGATTGCAGTTAAGCTCATCTCCAGGCTTCTTGATTGCGAATTTGGAGAACGCATTCGGCCAACTTTGGGGTTGGGGGTGGGTCCCGTATGGAAGAATCCAGTGTGTGACTTATTAGCTGGGCTGGGGAACCGAGGGGTGCCGGCGGGGGAATTGTGAGGAGCGAGCAGCCTTAATTCTTTAATAGCGGAACCCGTGGCAGAAAGTGCTTTATAGGGTTGTACTGAAGAGCTAATGTTGCTAGTTAGGTTTTGTAACTTGTTCCCCTAACCACTGGGTAGATAACCTGTTGGTTTGCACTTGTTTTGCTTGCATATCTCAGCCAACAGCGTTTGGTGCAGAATCTACAGAAACAGACACAGCCGGTTGGTTTTGCATTGGATGGCGGTGGCCGAACACTTGAACTTTCCATTTGCGTTAGGGGACAAGTGGATCCCTTTTTTAGTCAGCTCAGACGCTGCCTGAGATTTCCCAGGAAAGCAAAGCACTTGAAAGAGAAAAGTCACTCTTGTCGCTTTTAGATTCATACTCCAGATTATAGATTCTCATTGCCAGAACCTTTTTCTGTACTGTTTCTGTTTTTGCATTTTCTTTCCTCTTCCATTTCTAACTGAAGACAAAAGAGAAAATGTTATTGATGGGTACAGATGGCTAATTTTGCGGAATATAGAACTTTGCTGAAAAGTGAAAGTAGAAAGCATATTAAAATTTGATTCAGATTTTTCCAGAAAAGTAACTCATAACTTCAGACGCTGACCTCACTCCTTTGACTCAATTTCCTTGTCTGTAAATGGGGGTTTCATGTTACAGAATTGCTGTATGGATTTCAAGAGATGATAAAAATGAAAGAGCCCAGCATGGGGTCTGCCAAATAGTGGTTTGATAAATGTTTCCCTCTTCCCTTATTTTTCTTCTTGAGGAAGGGGAAGTGAGGTTTAGGGGACGTGGCCAAGAGCAAAGCTAGAGAATCTCAAATTACTGGGAAAGTATTCAAATCACAACTAGGTTTTCGTAGACACTAATTCCAGTATCCCTATGAAGTCACTTTTGAAAATGAGGTAAATTATCTCATTCCCGGGGATTAACAGAGGTTTGGTGGTTTTTTGTTTTTGGTTAGAGACCTTAATTTTTGGATGTTTGATGTTTGCAAGGATCTTTTTTTCACTACCTCCTCCTCTGTTCTCAGCATAATTATTGCTTGTCCTCCTGCTTCTAGAGGTGAGTATCAATCCTTGGGCGTCTTATTTCCAACGTGAATTATACAAATCAAGGCACAGCTGTTTACCTGCCGTTAGGGTAACTTGGATGCCTAAGTAGATAGTAGAGAGAGTGAGTGATGGTTTTACTTCCTTTACATCCTTCCTCTTCCCTAAGAAATTTTGTAATTATTTTGAATTCCTCCTCTGTGCCTACCAACTCTTCTGATACTGACGGGATAATCTTCCCATTATTACCCATAAATAAGTCTTTCTTTGTATTTATTCGGTTTTAGGTATTATTGATGTGAGCACCTTCTTATAACATCCCCGTGAGAGGTGTTATCCTCCACTCCCTTTTTTTTAAAGAATTGAGAGCTAAGGCCGAAAGATGCCAAGTGACTTTTCCAGATTCGCATAGCTCTGTCTCCTACCACATGCCTGTTTCTTGTCTGTCCTTGTGCTGCTGGGATTTGTTCAGTGGGCTATGTGCCATTTATGTAACTCGGTTACTCTGCAACTTAAACGTTTAACCTCGTGTTTAAAGGTCCATCTTCAAGCCATCCAAGATTAATGACTTGTCATCTTTCATATCTGGCTAAAATTTGTTCCCTTCCTGTTAGCCCATGCTTGATTTATTCTTTCTATTAATTCATCGACTTGTCAGTCATTGTGTCATGTGTGTGTGTGTTGGGGGGAGAGGTTGTATACAAAGTGGAATGACACAGTTCCTGACTTCAAAGGGCTTCTGAATTAGTTTACACTTTAGTCCTTTTTTACCCATCCTTAATCTACACCTTGGACCAAATGGGAGTCAGAAGCAGTTTTGGGGGTACTTGTCTACCTGTGTCTGGGAAAGCTTTGTGGCAGAGCTGTCCACGTTAGACATCTCAGTGCCAGGCACTGCCGAATTGGCTAGGATGCTTTTGGTGCAAGAGACAGAAAACCCAACTTAGATGGGCTTAAATGACTACCTGACCTGGGAAATCCTGAGGGCAGAACTTCTGCTCTGCTTCTCTGAAGTCCTCTCAGATATTGGTTAAGTCCATAGCCTCATTTTGCAAGATGAATGCCAAGAACAGTTGGAGCCCTCCAGTTACCATATTCCTGTGGGAACCTTCCTTCCTGCCACTTTCCAAAGAGGATCCTTGGTCTTGAGCTGATTGACTTAAGCCCTGGTTACTTGAGACAATAACTAAAACAATGGAGATCTGATAAACTGGGGTTCATCTCAGAACTGAGGAAGTGGATTTAAATCTCACCTCACCTACCTGGCTGCTACTACAACTTCAGGGAGGGCCCTGTGTGGACATGGGGAAGTCAGCCGCAGTGTCTGTGAGGGCCTCCAGGGATGTCAGTACTAGAGAGATGATTGGATAAACTAAAGAGGATTGAATCAGCATTTGAATTTAACCTCACATTTCATAGAGGAATCTCATTGCCATGCAGAGTTAGGAGGATGGGCATTTAGGAGGGAGGGAGTTTAGAGAGTGAACGAGTGTGGAATCATTGGGCAAAAAGCAAGTAGCCCAGTTGGCTGAAGCTGATAGAGAGGGCAGAAGTAGAAGAAAAGGTTAGAAAGGCAAGTTGTTGATGATAATAATAGTGGCTAACTTTAATTGAGCTATTATTATGTGTCAAACCCTGCATTGAGCACTTTACATGGATTTATCTCAATTAGTATTAGTTGGTACTGTGAGCATTCCCACTTTACAGGTGAGGAAATGGAGGCTCAGAGAAGTTTAGACACTTGCCCAAGGTAACGAGGCATTCCATCCCAGGTCGTCTTGAACCGTAGCCTGCTCTGTCTCCTGAGGTGTGAGGTAACAGAGTGCCACTGAAGCTTTTGAGCTAGAAGGAGTGCATTATGAATGCTGTGCTCCAGGGCTGTGAGTCTGGTCAGAGTGGGTAGGATGGATTGGCGTGGATAGAGGCTAGGACTGTGGAGGTGGCCTGGGAGGAGAGGAGGCCAGGGCAGTGATGAGGCCCCACCTGGAGCTACAGCCATAAGCACAGACTGGAGAGAGCTAATTGTATGCGATCGTTTCTGGGATGAGACCTATGTGACTTGGAGACCAATTGGATTCAGGGGCCGAGAAGAGGAAGGGCAGGCTTAAGACTGGGCGGTAGAGGAAACATGGTCTTCCAGGGAGGAAGCGTTGTAATCAGGTGGAAGTATCCTAAGGGCCCAGACACATCTCCCGACAAGCCATTGCTTGCCCGCCAGTCCCAGTTCCCTCTCTTCAACGCTCCATCGGCTACTTTTTTGTTGTTGCCCTTCTGCCAGTACATGTTTCCACCACATTTCATCCATTTTCAGACACAGTTTTTCACATTTTAACATATCTGGGTAGAGATGCAGCTTATAATCATTACTTATAATCTGAAAATCACTGCAAGCAGTTTTCCACATTTTAAGAAGACTGAAATCAGGAGGCTTCCCACCTTTCAATGAAGTTTCATTGGTGAGAAAAGGAAAATCCCAGCGTTGCTGAACGTCATGCCCCGAGTTGCTGGCAGAGCCAGGGGTGAGCACCACGCCTTCTGGGCCCTTCTGTCAGCTCACGTGATAGATATTAAAGTAAAGGTTGCCTTGTGATACAGGATTATAGTAAAGCACATGCATATTTCTTTATTACAAGTGAAGTAATTTGAAACGGATGGAAGGCAGAGTTAAGCAGGGTGCCTCATCCTTGTACAGAGCCTGGCTGCCATGGTTTCTTGTCCTAACTTGCCACGGACCATAAGGAAATCGACTCTGGGCATTGGTCTCTTTTTCTTTAAAAATGAAAGGTGCAACTCAGGTGATATCCAAGTCCCTTTCAGAACCAATATTTTTCATTTTTGCTTTTGCTGAGAGCAAATCCTTGGTTTCTGTTTGACCAAAAATAGAGAATGAAAAGTGAGAGCATTTAGGTCTTAGAAAGGTAGACGTCAGAATCTGTGATGGAAATTATAGTTTTCTCTTCAAGAGGTTCGACAGAACTACTGGAGATGTTCTGGTCTAGCAACGTGAATTGGTTAGGAAGGTAACCTGACCTAATTTTGAGTCTCTGTAATAGAACCCCTCCAACCCCCATTTCAACCGATAAGTGTTAGCATTATCAAACTGGTTCCCACTGGGCTCTCGCTGGCATGTTTCCTCCATGGGAACATTTTTATTTGACTTGTGTGCATTCACTTTTAGAATTGTGTGGTCCCTGGATTTAAAATATTCATACTGGGTGAGTGTTCGGAAAGACTAAATTCTCCCCCTCCCCCCGCCAGTTGTCTTTGAAGTACAATGGGTGTGTAATGTCTTAGTACTCCTTATATCTTAAGTTAGACTTTTGTATCTTCTGTTTGATGCCTTCTTGCTGAGTGGGATCTAGGAAATAGTTTCTTGCACTTTCAGGATTTTTAGTGCTGGTACTGTCATGTTTTCTCTAGTTAGAAGAAGAACTGTTTTCTTGAAACACACCTGCAGTTTCTAACTATAATCCTTGTACTAGGTTAGCCCCCGCCAGCTAGCACATGCTGGTTACAGGGTCCATCTCTATTAAGTTCTGCCTTTGCCCCTTTCTTTTCCCATTGTCAGCCGTTTCACCCTGTCGGAACTAATCTCTTATAAGCCCGTACTAAACAGGCCTAATTAAAACCACCGTGGAGAGCTGGCCACTCGGGTCTTTGTTTTATCTGAGTTATTCTGAACCCCAGAGTACCTGTTCCCCTTTTGTCTTGGCGCAGCATATGCTGCTACAAAATAATTGTTAGGAATTTCTCCTTCCCCAAAGAATAGTTATCGTGATACCGAATTCAATAACTAGTTGTTTGCTTCCTTGGGAGTTTGGCAGTATGGTGTCTGTCCCTAGGGATGGTGTTCAGGGTACCTCTGCTTCAGTCTTTGGCAGAAGAAATAACTTACTTTAATATTTACAAAAGTTGTTGACACCTCCATCTGCCCTCTTCCCCATCTTGAGTTTATGTCTTACAAAACTTCTGAACACTTATCTCTGCTGTGGATCTGAGGTGCATTTATAAGACCATCTACCATGCTTTTCTCTTTAAGTCAGAAAGCTGTCAGAAGCAGATTGAAGAAGGTGCCTTTCAGGTTAGCAGCCACACACCTGGATAGGGTTCCAGCTCTGCCATTTATGGCTCTGTAGGCTCCGGCGGGTAAGTCACTCCACCTCTGAGACTTTTTAGTAGAACTGGAGGGTGATGATACCTGTGCCTACTTTGGAGGGTTGTCAAACCATCAATATTATACGTGAAAGTTACGTGGGGACTGACTTAATTTGATGAGCGTGGTAAAAAGATCCTCTGTTGTGTAGGATGTTCACTGAAGCATTGTTTATATTAGCAAAGGATTGAATGTCTGTGGAGTAAAGGTCCTTCAGAAGAATAAATTACAGCCGGGAAGTGTCATACTTTGCAGCTTACAAAAGAATGAGGCTGTTCTGAGGGTGCTGAATATAGCTGCTCTGTACCTCATACCAGGCACCTTGCTAAAATGCTCTATGTATGTTAATTCATTTGGCCTCACCAAACCCCATGAGGTAGGTACCCCAGTTTTACAGATGAGGAGGCTAAGGCACAGAAAGGTTAAGTGACTTGTTTAAGGCTCCACAGCTAGTAGATGGCAGAGCCAGGAGTCAAACCTAGGCAGGGGTACCATCTGCTTGTAGCCACCTGCTAGGCTGTGTGCCTGTTAGACCTAACTAGTAATCTTTCCTTTTGCAGCTCTAGATACAGAATTAGAGGAAACAAAGTTGAGTTTCTTATTCATCCTTGCATTCTGGGAGGTTGACAGGATAACCAATATAGGGCTTTTGACAGTAGCTAAACGAAGGTTTAGACAAAGAAAGCTGCTAGGGGAATAACATTCATGATCAGTCCTTGAAAGGGTGACCTTCTGTTTCTTCTCAAACTCCTTTTTTAGATATTCTGAACTTAAGCCTCCTCTTCTTGGTGTAATCAGAAGTGCAAACACAGCAAGAGCTCTGTAATTATTGGTGTAAGAAATCCGTGTTCAGAAGCCCAGTGGCCAGTTGGCCAGACTAGCGTGAGTGGCCGGGAGCATCCAGCTTCAGTTTCCTTACCTGGCCCCACCTCCACCTGGGCTTGATTTACAAGGTGTGTAATCAGACCTGAGAGGTGTGGCTGGGAGGGAAGGGCACCCAGATTCTCCAGGGACCCTCTGTCTCCAGATCGTCTGATTTCCCTTGGGTGGAGGTGTAAATCCTGTGTGTTTTGAGAACATCTGCTTGGTCACTCTGACAGGCCTCATCATGGGCTACTTGTTCTGGCTGAAATAGACGTTTCCCACCATGTTCAGTTCTCTTGGGATTCTTAGACTCTTTTAGAACTACTTCATTTTCTTTCTGGGTGTGGGTCACTAGGTCTGACATTATGACGGCTATGAGTACTATAATTCCTAAAAGAAGAGGATCACGAAATTCACAGAATGGCTTCTACGTTAACATGGAATGTGGCCAGATGATGAAACAGCTGTTGGCTTTAGACACATTCTATAGAAGAGATGAATAAATGACAAGTAGATTGGGTGTATGTTTAAAAAGACCACATCGTAGCAGGTTTTTTTTCCTTCACGTTTTAACTCTGCCTTGTTCCTCTTCTCCTTCACCCCCACACCCAAAGAACAGTTACAAAATGTGGATGTTTAGATTAAGTTTAGAAGAAATGTGTTTTCGTGTCACATGCCTTATTTACGTTACACAGGTTTGAATTTAAATATTTTAAGACATTTTCTCTTGGGGGGTGCATAACTTATCTTTGTTAATTATGTTTCTCCACCCTCTTTTAATTTCAATTGAGGCTATAACACTGCCTTCGTATATTCTGTACGAATTAGCTTGGAGAACATGATAATTTATTTTGAATATTCAAGTAATCACGTCACTTAAGAGACTGCAATCAGATAAGAATTATAAATGCTGCCCATAGCAAAAAATATTGCTTAAAAGCCTCTTAAATGTTTGTCTCCCCGCTGTTTGCAATTGCAGTCTGATTTAGATGTTAGGAATATGTGTAGAGCTCAGCCTCTTTAAGCCCAGTCTTGAAGGGAATGGTTAGAGGCGTGCATGGGATCTTGATGTCTGTGATCTGCCTTGGTCATTGATTGTCTTCTCTACAGGTGTGCTTCAGCCAAGAAGGTGGTTGCCCTGTGAAACAGGTCAGAGCTTCTTCAAAGAGCCCCTTAAAGATAGCATCTCAGGACTTCTGCGTCCCTAGGAGAATGCTATGACTACTGTGGTTGCTTTGTTTTCAGAGCAGCTCCCTTTTGTTTACTTTGCAAGAAGCAGTAGGTTTGGAGTAGGCTCAGTGGCCGCCAAGGAAGGTGGCTGTGACCGCAGTGTGTAGTGAGGTAGGTGCTTTTCATTGAGCCCTGGAACAGTGCTTCAAGCTTGAGTTGATCATCTTTTTGAGAAATGGGACTGGCATATTTAATCGGGCTTCCCCAAATTCAAGACTTAGATGAATAGTTGCAAAGAACTGTTGGAAGACCAATCTCAGTGGGTGATATCCTTGCCCATGGATTCAAGTATCCATTCATGCCCCCATTGACCAGCTCAGATACTTATTTATTTATTTATTTTTGTGAGGAAGATCGGCCCTGAGCTAACATCTGTCGCCAGTCCTCCTCTTTTTGCTGAGAAGATTGGCCCTGGGCTAACATCCGTGCCCATCTTCCTCTGCTTTATGTGGGACGCCGCCACAGCATGGCCTGACAAGCGGTGCATCGGTGCACACCTGGGATCCGAATCCGGGCCGCCAGCAGCAGAGCGCGCACACTTAACCACTTGCGCCACTGGGCCGGCCCCTCAGATATTTATTTCTGATCCATTTCTTGCTTCTGAGCTCCAGATTCTTAACTTCTCTTCAGCTAGGTTCTCCCAGATGCCCTACAAACCTCTCTCTCTTGTTGGCCACTGTGGGCAGGAGCACTACCACCCACCAGTTTGCCCAAGCCTTCCAGCTTCTCTCTCATCAACCACATCCCTCCCCCACTTCCTCCAGCTGTCAGTCACCAAGTGTTGTCCATTCAGGCTCTGCTCTGTCCCGCTCCGTTGCCCTTCCCCCTCTCCATTGCCCAGCCTTTGCAGCACATCAGTCCCTTCCTGGATAACTACAGTTTCTCCCTGCCTCCTTTCTTTCTCCCTGTGTTCCCGTCCCTACTGTGTTGTCACAGTGGTCTTCTGACATGTGAATAGGGTCATTTCACTCCACCCTAAAAACTTCATTCACTCCCTCTTCAGGCCCATCCTGATCTGTCTTCGTTTCCTGCCCCTTTCCTGCCCGCGCTTTTCCCTCTGAACACACCACAGACTGCGTCTCCCCAAATGGGCCTTGGCTGCTCCCGTCTCCACTCCCCACAGGCTGTATTTGGTGGCTTCCTCACCATTTTCCACCAGAAAACAAAAACACGAAAGTAAAGCAAACTGAATAACGGAAAAAGCCCTGTTCTTCAGAAGTCAAACCCTC